AAAAAGTTGTATTTTAAATGGATAAATAATTTATATAAGTTTCTATAGTTACATTTCAGAATGTAGGCTAAATCATGATTGTAAAAATAATCTGTTGGATTAGGCTATGATATTAATTATGAAAAGGGAAAGACTAAAAGAAAGCCTATCCATTAAATTTGATCTTGTTTTTGTTATCTATCCTACAAGTAAAACAGCGGATTGTCAAGTCACTGTTACTCGGTTCCAGTTACTGGTTTCAGTTCCAGTGACGCATCATGTTGTGATCGTATATAAGACAAATGCTCACCTTCATTTCACTCACAGCTTTAGGAAGATAAGAAGAGGGTCTTGCTTCAACAGTGATTGAACGGAACTTCGCTTGAATTTAAATTTCTTATTTATTTTCGCACCAACGTTGTGATAATAAACCGCAGAAATGGAGACTTCTCAGATTCGCCAGAACTATGACCGCGACTGCGAGGCTATGATCAACAAGATGATCAATTTGGAGCTTTACGCTTCCTACACTTACACTTCAATGGCAAGTCTATCTCTTATTGGTTTTGTCACTTTACTAAATTATAAGGAACGTTGTCTCTATTGATTTTTGTTTTCCATTCTTGACTAAACCCTGTCTAAGGAAAAAAATAGCGTTATAGAAATCTTAAAACTACAAGAAACTGTTTTGTAGAGCATATTTATTGGGCAGCCTATAATAACCGAAAAAACAGTTCAAATGCCATAGCAGACATTGGGCATAGTCTAATAGGAACATCCACGGCTGTTTGTTTTGTTAGGAGTGACTGATCATCAGTAGGCTATAGTCTATTAGGCTACTATTCTGTGATCAGTTACCGGTTTGACTTTTATTGGATGTCGTTCGCTTGAGAGATTTTTTTTCTCATCAAGTACTTGATAGGCCATTCCTTAAGTTGATATTTGTTCCCTTGTTCCTTAACATGTAGTTCTATTCCTTTTCGATTTTGTTCAGGCTTTCTACTTCAAACGGGATGATGTGGCTCTTGCTGGTTTTGCCAAGTTCTTCAAGGAGAACAGTGAGGAGGAGCGCGAGCATGCCGAGAAACTCATGGAGTTTCAGAACAAGAGGGGCGGGAAAATTGTCCTTCAGGATGTAAAGGTGCTTTGAATGAAGCCTTTTCACTTTGAACATTGTATCAAAGCTGACTGTAGAGCTTGTTATGGAATGACCTTATGCCATGTAACTTGCTCACTGATCTGTGTATCTAACTTTCCAGAAACCTGAACGTGATATGTGGGGCAATGGACTGATCGCTATGCAGTGCGCTCTTCAGCTGGAGAAGAACGTCAATCAGGCTCTGCTGGATCTGCATAAGGCTGCCTCTGAGAAGACAGACCCACATGTAAGTGGCCCTTATTTTATGAAGTTTACGCTTGGGACTCAAAATTTGTCTCCATATCAACCACATCAATGCCCCACCAAAATATTCACCCTAAACATAGTCCTCTATATAAAATGAATCAATAATATACTGTAAATTTGTTCTGCTTTCTGCAGCCAATCTTTACCGAGTTTTCTAGACTATTTTAAGTCGTAAAGTGAGCACGATATATCAAATTTTAGCGCATATGGCTTCGGCAGGGCAGGCATGTATTGATAAGAGGGGCAGCAAGTGCCTGAGCCCTGCCCAACTCTACAGCTCCTCACAATTCTCCAATGTAAATCTGTGGTGAAAAATTAAACTACACCGCACTCTAATTGGGAGCCGATTTCAGACTGCCCTGCTTATTTTCACTTTAGCTTATGTAAACCTCGCTCCAGACCTAGATGCTATCAATCCACTTCAGCTCTGTGTATATTAGTCTGCATCAGGCCAGTAAAAGCTGACATGTCTGTTCTTCATTTGTGGAGTAGTTTATCAAATTAAAAGTATAAATGGTGTTGGGGAACATTACTTTTAAAAGTAATGCATTACAATTTTGCGTTACTCTCGGTAGGCAATAAAGACATTGGTTAATAAAGTGGGATTAAATACATAAAGACATTTTGTGTTATTTAACATGTTTAATTATTACAGGTTTGTGTAATATTCTGAGTTTGCATTTCACTGTTTTGATTCATTTTGAGGAATACTGTCTGAATCTGATTTGTGTAAGTGAGATGAGTAAATGCCTGCTCACATTTATTGTAGAATTACAAAACCCATCCTGATTTCTCTCTACATGGGACAGGACAGGTGTCAGTCAAAAAATGGGAAAACAAAGTAAAAAGTATCAGATACTTTGTTGTAAATTTAAAAGAAATGGGTTACTTGGCTCGTTACTTGAAAAAGTAATCTGATTACGTGAATTGTTACATGTAATGTGTTACCACAACACTGCGTATAAATCCTTTAGTACAAATATGCTCATGTAAATAATTTGTATATAGGGGAGCACAACCTAACACGGGGTTAAATGTAACACAGACTTTTTACATAGTCAGTCAGGATCAAGCAGGTTGTCTTTCCGCTATTTTTCTCTTGCTGCCAGAGGACGGTCTCCCGCGAATTTGCGGAAAGTTTTGATAATATTTTATTTTGTGAAGATACTGGACAAAGAGTGTTTTGACACCATGCAAGTAAATTTTTTCATCATAGGTTTTTTTCGGTTTTTGAGTTGTGTGTATACGTTTCCAAATCTAACTTTATATTGCCTTAATCACTGTCTTGTTGGCTCAAACATAGCACGGTTTTGAAACATGTCAGCAATTCCTAGCGACTGTTAGCTAGGCTTAAAATATGTAATACACAGCGGGGTTAGTTGTAACACAGTGTTACAAACAAGCCGCCATGTGTACAATGATAATCAAATGAAAACGGAGCCACACAACTTTTCAGGTTTGAGTATAGGCCTACATTTAACTTTGTTGGACTTTCACAAACAATGTTGGAATTTAAAATGTTTAAAATTTAGTGTACTATGAATGATAACTTGTTTATTTATTAAAAATATGGCATGTTTTTAATGCAATAAACCCTTTAAATTTTTATTCTAAGCTCATTTGTATTATTATTACTGTTATTATTTTTAATAATAATAATTGTACATCCAGCTGCCACACACAAATCTAATTTAATTGCAATTACAATATTTTATAATTTTATTTATTATTATTTATTGCAAAACTGTGCAGCCCTTTTCAATGTCTCTATCTATGATATTGATCCACAATAGAAGGATGATTGGATGAGGGATGGATGTATGGATATCTGTCTATACAGATGCACAAACAATATCAAACTATACAAATAAAATAGTACTGAATTATGTGTGTTACACACAAGTGTTACAACTAACCCCTCTGTCTTATTAACCCAGCATATGGGGTAAGTCGTAACAGTTGCACTTCTGTCACTTTCAGTGCAACTGTACGAAAATGGTAGGTCCTATGTTGCTTGTGTAAAAAAATATTAATCTAAAATGCGTAAGGCATGCCCCACTCTCCCCTATTGGGTTTGTTTTATGTTTGTTCTGAGAATAGACATGACATTATTTTCCTCACCAGAATTCCTCTACAACTTATCATATTCTAAATAAGGCAATTCTAAAATGGTATTAAATGTTGTGTTTACTGAAGTCTGTCAATCATCATAGAGTGCAACCCTCAGGCTGAATAACGCAAGGACGTTTGGCCTCTTCCAAAAATGTGTCTGCGTGTGTTCAGTGGTTGGAATATAAAGCTTACAAAATGTTTAACACAAGCTAGCGCCAAGACCCAGAATTTGCACTACCTAAATTTACAGTCAGGAAAAGCTACTGCTCGATATCCATGCCTTTTACAAGAGTTTCACATCTTTTCACTGAAGTTTGCAACTTGAATTTTTTTTTTTATGATGTGTTGTCCGACAGCTGTGTGACTTCCTGGAGACTCACTACCTGAATGAGCAGGTGGAGGCAATCAAGAAGATTGGTGACCACATCACCAACCTTTCCAAGATGGATGCTGGCAACAACAGGATGGCGGAGTACCTGTTTGACAAGCACACCCTGAGCAGCTAAACGCAGCCCTCAGATCATTTATAAATTAATTGAATTACTATTCTCTTAAATATGTTCTTATCAAACAGCTGTTGTGCAAATTTTTAAAGTGTGAGAGGTTGAAAGGTTAATATCAAGTAAAGGTTCCATTTGCTATAAAATGATGCAGTGTCTTGTATCATCTTGCAATGATACAAGATGATTAAATAGTCATCTTGTGATTGATATCAAGCAAGGCTTATGTTGAATGTGTACTGACTGACGTAGTAAATTTAAATAAACATTTTGAGCTGAATAACCTTGTCTTTTTTTATTTAAATTTGTGTGGGATGCATTTAGTGTGATGTATTTACAGTATATTGGACAGTCTGTAGGCCTATTATTCAGCCTGCAAAAAGAGTTGTGAATGATTATTGAAAGTGGAAACTATTTGATAGTGTATTTTTAACAAAAATTGTTATAACTGGGACACCAAGCCTCACAAAAAAGAAGATAAAGTGTAAAAAAGCAGACATCACTAGAGCTTGAGTTTGCATCCTGAAAGGATGATGATGCATTCCATTTTGACAGAACTGTATTTGTATTTATTCAAACGAAATGTACACTAAAATCTAAAATTATAGCCTACACAATATATAACATTAACGTGGAACCATTTCGTGGTCTGCTAAATGAATAAACGTAAATATTCACATGGATTGAATTTCCACAGTAAATTTTTTTAGCATTTTACCACATGAGGGTGATGTTTCCTCCCCTATAATCGCACATTGACCAAAAGGGCCCTTTGGTAGATTTTTATTCAATAGCTATATAAATATCTCAGTAATCACCATCTTTGGGAGGCGCCTTGTTCTCATTTCAAAACCAATTCATTTCACAGCTTCCTATCCCAAATCAATCTATCTCTATTAGCAGCGGTGAGCCACCGAGCATAATCCTATTCCGAGGGGTCACTGAACGAAATTTGTATTGGAAATTGGAATCGGATTTACAGCATACAGGAGATTATATATAATAGCCAAGCAAATTTATAAATGCCAAACGAGATGGATGAAATAAGATTGGCACATGAGAAACCCCAGGGCACATAACTGCGAACAGAAGGAAGAGCACGATTAATCCAAGTGAAAGAGGGTTTGGCGTTTCAAATGCGCTTTGAGGAGAGAGAGATAGAGAGAGATAGGGTTGGGACGACAGACTCGTGGATGACAAGTGTACGATAGAGCAGTGTGTGAGTGGGCTAGTGCGTCTCTCTAACCAACGCGCAGGTTTTTTATAGGCTATAGAGTTGGATCAGCTATTCATCAGGTAAGTTTGATTAGCCTATTATTTATAACTCTTCACGGGCTTGCTATCCGTGCAAATATTACTAGCTATTCAATTGACATGTCAAGCAATGTCATTTAAAATGTTTTTTAAAGTAGGCTATTTTAGCCAAATCTACGCAGTTTAATAACATTAACGTAGTTGTAGCTATTTAAAAAAAAAAAATCCGTGGAAATTATTATGGGCTGCAAGCAGACAAGCTAAATAAAGAGGACTATTTCAAATGTAATAGCCTACAACAGACGTTAGCAAATAACACGCAATTGTTTTTGTTTTTCGTTTTGTCTTTTTTCTTCATATTTTGTATGACAGTAGGCCTAGGCAGTGTTTCCCTCTAAGATCTGGTGATAAGAGTGTCTCAAGATGATTTTGTTTCTCGATTAAATTAATGCAGTTATCTGTGTGCGTAGATTATTTTCAGTTTTAGACAACTCTGTGTATTCCGCATAATTTTCCAGCGAAAAAGGGTGTCTGGAAGAGATTTAGGTAATCCGAGAATAGGCTACAGCAGTTCTGCCCGCTGCTGGACAAAGTAGGCCTACAGATGAAGAAGGGCAAAGCCATGTGACGCCGTCTGATGGCCTGTGACGCACAGAGCGACAGGCCTTCTTTAGCCAGATTAGGGCAGTCCTGTCTGTAAACGACACAAATTATGGCTTCTGAACTCTCAGATTAAGCACTATCTATGTATCTTCTCTATTCGGAAAAGAGAAGAAATCACTGCGTTGTTTTAACGCTTTATGAGTTTTGTATGAACTTATGTATATTAACTATTTATTTCTTATGTGTTTTTTATGTGGTTTGTAACGTGGTTGTTGTGCCAGTGTCAAAGATGAATTTCTGTCCAGTACATCTGAACAGAACAAATCAAATCAAATGCTATGCGATAAATATTAAATTATTTCAAAAACGAATGTTGAAAAACAATGTTTTAGAAGTTTCTTTTAAAAATACTTAACCTATTTTTTTTTCTAGAGAAATTGACTGACTTTTTGCAAATATCACTACTAAATATGAAAACAGTGTGACTGCTTTATGAATCAATATACTTGTGTCCTAGCTAACATTTCAAGGACATAGAAAAATAATGTTAATACCATATATTCTCTAATATTAATATTCTCTAATACATAAATATTCTCTTGGCAAAGGCACTGATTTGAAATTTTCAAAAAACAAAATTTTGTTTGTTGCTAAGAAGCATCATTGCTACACTATATAATATATAAATATGTAAATACATGTTCACTCAATTTAATTTTTTTTTTTTAATGGACAAAATATTAATTTAAATAAAATCTAACCAGCATGTATAAAACATTCGTATCTTCTTTTTTTATTATTTGAACAATTGTTATTTTTTAACCATTTTATTGTTTTGTTATACATCGTGTACATGCCAAGTTTAAAATAAAAAAATAAAAATAAAAAAATGTGTCCCTGTTAATCATCATGAACCAGCAAGGTCAAGTAAATCATCTCTAAACTCTTACTAAAACTGAAATGAAGCAGGCTTTGGTGCTATCTCTAGAGAAAAAAAAAATCCTTTTTAAAAAAGGCTTTATGTCCATCGTCTTTCATCACTGTGGTCAGTCTATGTGGCTGACTGGTAAACAAGCTTCAGGAAGAGAATCATCACTAAGTCATGCCCTCATTAATCCAACCGTGACCTTAGTGCCCGACACATTCTTATGTAGTCTTTTATATGTCGTTCTGGTGACAAGATGTTGGTTGTGTAGGCTCAACAGTGAAAGTGAGGAGGCAAGGGGAGGGCCCTGTTCCTAATTTACCTAAACCTAAGGATTTTTGGATTAGCTTTGGCAATTAATCCCGTTATACATCCGCTGAGAGTGACTAGGTCAGATCAGCTCAGCAGGGCAGGTAGAGACACCCATTGTGTGTTAATATGTGTAAAAAATGTTTTTGAGCAAATTAATGAGCACATTATAGTGTTTGAACACATATGGATTATGGGTGCATGGTTGTGTTTTGGCATGTCACAGTTACAGAAGGATTAATAACGGACATGTGGAGCCATATAGCATTAGAGTTTACTCCATCAAAAGTCACGCCAGGCACAAAGAGGATAGAGGAGGGGAGGGAAAGAGAGAGATAGTGTGGGTTTGACAGGAGGAGGGGTGGTGGATGGGATGGAGAAGAGCACATAATAAAAAAGAGGGACAAAAATGAATAGTTTAGACTAGAGGACACAAGACAGATCTAGGGCATATATGTGATTTTGGGCATTCAGTTCATGTTATTTCAGGACCGTAACAGTTTGTTTTATGCCTCTAGCTGATCAGCCATGCGATTGGTCAGTATGCAGCATCGTGGGCGGAGGGCAGCAGGATCAGAGGAGGAGCCTAATCCTGCTCCACCCCCTCCGCCCCCTCCCTCGCACCACTCCCACAACTTCATAAATATGAAGAACAAGTTCTTCAATGAGCTTGGCCATCTACCTAGTAAGTAATCATTTTATATCAAGATATATGCCTATGCCACACTTAATCGGATCTCAGCTGGCCACCAACGTTATAAGACGTAGATATTTGGTTGAATATCTACATTGTGTGACCAAAATTCAATGTCAGAACAACGTCTAATGCCAACTTCAATGTGACGTAGAATACTGACGATTTGCTGACATATTGATATTTTGTTGCTTTTATTTAGTGGAATCGCCTCACGCCAAAATGGTATTGACGTCAAACACCAACATTTAATCGTGACGTAACCCAAACCCAACGTCTGCTAAACACCAAAATGTTAACTTTTACACAATGTTGAATTATAACAATATCAGATAGTCATATTTCATTGTATTAAAGGGGTCGTCAGATGCAAAATTCACTTTTATATGGTGTTTGCATATAAATGAGTCTTTGCAGTGTGTGGACACAACCACCATACAAAGAAAAATAATCCATTCACTCCTTTTTTTATATTCCTCAAAAAGCCTAAATACTCTCAATTATCAAGCCGTTCTGATTTTCTGAGCAATATGATGTCATACTGCTCATGCTCCACCCACGACCACTGATGGACTGTCCCGTATTAGCATATTTCCGCCCGCCGCCATTTGCATACTGTCCGCCAAGGCAGCACTTTACATGTCTTGTGTCGACACCCCCCATGGAAGAGAGGGGTGGGGTGAGCAGTTTCTCGTTATCATTTAAAGAGACATGCACCGAAGACATGCACCGAAACGTTATCATTTAAAGAGACATGCACCGAAACGAAAATAAAACATCTGTCCATTGTTGGCTTTTGACATCAACCTGATTATCATATTCAACCAAAATTTAACATCTCCCCAATGTCATTCTGATGTTAAATTGATGTCCGGTTCGGTTTCATCATATTATCCTTACATTCCCATTGAACTGTGTGTGATAAATTCATTCCTACATTTATTTTTCATTTCCATGTAAATTCTACATGTTTTCTATCTATTCCATAAACAGACCACAAGATCAAAAGTAAGTTCCAATTTTTCAAAGCTTTTCTCTGTCAGCCCTCAATCCATCCATCCATTAATCCATCCATTTATTTTGCAGAAATTATGTTTTTGTTGTTGTTGTTGCTTTAATCCATTTTTTACTTTAAATTTCTTTGTTTATTTCTCTACTGCACAGTGCCCATGTGGGCTATTGGTGCCATAGTTGTGGTCGTTCTAGCCTTGGTTGGCTGCTTTGCTTTCTGTATTTATAAGAAGTGCTTGGGAGGGAAGAAGAAAACTAAGAAAGTCAGAGAGAGGAAGGGAGGACGAAGAAGAGTGAAAAAGGAGGGAGATGAGGAAGCAGGCGAGGTGAGAGAGCTTGGAAGCTCAAAACAGAAAATGGTTTCTGTTAAATTCATTATTTTAATTTATTAAAAAGAAATGGGCAAAGTTTGCCTTAAAGGTTTGCTGAAGTATTTTACATTTATACTGCCCATACTTAATACTCCCATAGGAACAACCTAAAGATGGAGAGGGCGAGGGAGAGAAAGAAAGTTATGGCAAGTTGGAATACACTCTGGATTATAACTTCACTGAAAATCAGGTTGGTTGAGAGTGGATGTTCATAATTTCCATGCTATTTATGAGATGATTTGATTATTATTTTTTTTTTATACAAATCAGCAAAAATGTCATTTTAAAGAATGTGTGAGAATCTTCTTGATTTTGAACACCTGACCCTCAATCTCTTCAACAATCTTCAGCTCATTGTCGGTATCCTGCAAGCACAAGACCTTCCTGCCATGGATCTGGGTGGAACGTCTGACCCCTATGTCAAAGTTTATATGCTCCCAGACAAGAAGAAAAAGTTTGAAACAAAGATCCAGCGCAAGAACCTGTGTCCTGTTTTCAATGAGACATTCATATTTAAGGTATTGCAGTTATGTCCTAACAATCATGCATTTTTGTGGGATTTGTCATACACTTTATCTGTTATGCTTGATTTTGTTGCAGAATAAGCAACTGAGTTGTTTTTTCTCTAAACAGAGCAAATGTAATTTCTTTTCATAAATGGTACAGTGTTCAAATAGTATGTTTTATTTCTGTTTCCAGATCCCCTTCAATGATCTAGCGGGGCAGACTCTAGTCTTGCAGGTGTTTGACTTTGACCGCTTTGGTAAACATGACGTAATTGGAGAGATCAAAATCGCCATGAACAGTATTGACCTGGGCCAGCCCATACACGAATGGAAAGACCTAGTTGGAGGAGAGAAAGAGGAAGTAAGGCTTTCCTTGAGACTTTTGTACACATAGTCTGTTCTTTGATGATTTTTTGGCTAAACACACTCCTCTTCCTTCTCAACAGCAAGAAAAGCTTGGAGACATCTGTATCTCCCTGCGCTATGTGCCCACCTCCGGTAAACTGACCGTCTGTATCATGGAAGCCAAGAACCTGAAGAAGATGGATGTGGGTGGTTTATCAGGTGACTAGCATTATTATGTTCAAATTAGATTGCATTCTGGGTTGTACTTGATATTAAAATGAAATTAGTCTCTACACATCAAAAGTGACTTCATATTAATATAATTTGATTTCTATACTGGAAATGTTGTGCCCAAGTGTCCATTTCTGTTTTTATCCATGTACAATGGCATTATCTCTTTGCTAATAGTTTTCTTTCCCATTCTCTTTTAGATCCTTTTGTGAAAGTGGTTTTGCAACACAACGGAAAGCGCATCAAGAAGAAGAAGACGACAGTTAAGCAGAACACACTGAACCCTTACTTCAATGAAAGTTTCAGCTTTGAAATCCCCTTCGCTCAGATTCAGGTAAATATATCTGTTTGAAACACGACATTACTTGCATCTCTGATACATTTACAGATTTACAATACAATGCAAAATTTTTTACTATGAATCTGAGTCATCTGAGTCTACAATATAATGGGTCACACTTTATATTAGGTGTCTTTAACTACTATGTACTAAAATCAAAAGGTAATATTTGTCCTACAATGTACTTATTGTGTTCATGTTGTATTGTAAAACACTTTTGCTGCTTTTGAGGTGGAAAATGGGTACGGTTAGATACAGGTTTGGTGGTATGGGCAGATTTAAGGGTGGGTTAAGGTGTAAGGGAAGGGTTAACAGTATAATTATTGATGTCATTTTACGAAAATTAATGACAGCTGTAATTACATGCATGTATTTATATAAAATAAAACACTTGAAAAATGAATTGTATCAATTTATTCATTTAAATGTTAGTAAATAGTAGTTAAAGACACTTAATATAAAGTAGGGCCAAAGAACAGAGTGGATTAAATGTGTATTGACCTATATTTCTCTGCTCCTCTGTGTCCCTGCAGAAGATCCAGGTACTGATCACTGTCTATGACTATGATAAACTGGGAAGCAATGATGCGATTGGGAAGTGCTGGATTGGGTTTGGCGCTAGTGGGGTGGGTCTGCGACACTGGTCAGACATGTTGGCCAATCCCAGACGACCTGTGGCCCAGTGGCACACCCTTCAGCCTGAAGAAGAAGTAGACGCCGCCCTTAAAGCACCTATCCGCTAAATATCTTACTTATCCACCCCTCAAATAAAAGTTCTGGCAAAACATTATTTAAATCTCATACGTCCTGTCACTTCTGTCTGTAGCGTTATTAACGTCATTATTTCACCTACCCTTCTTTACTCTGAAACAAAGGAGGATTAACTTTTATAAATGTTATTCTGTATTTTCTGTTCATATGGATTGTTTCTTATGTAAATGTGTGTGTATGTGGATGATAACTGTGTGTTTTGTTTGAAAGTCTTGTATATGTCTATAACTGTGTGAGAACTGTCCTGATTTGCCTCGTCTTTTCTGTGAACCAAGTTGACAATAAAAACAGCAACTGGATATTATAACTCAGGGGTGAAACCTAGTAATTAATCGATGATAAATATTTTTGCCTGATTAACAGCCATTATTGTCTACCAATAGCAATTGTCTGCTTGGGTTCAGCAGTATTTACAGAGTTGTCCGGTTGTAGGTGGAAGCCTGGATTAATCTTGTGCTGTTTTCGGCTGTGTTCCAAGTGCAGTACTGGACTAAGCCATACATGTGAGCAGGGAATTAGAGCAAGAGAAGGGCGGGTGAGGAGAGGATGAAGGAGACCAGAAAGGACACACATGCAAAGTCAAAGAGAGAGAAAGAGAGAGATTGGGGAAGGTTGAATAGATAAAGAGGCTGCATTTTAAATGCAAAGTTAGTTAACTGGTTAAATATGATTTGGTAAAAGACTACAAAACAGACAGATTAACATGACTACAAAACAGACAGATTAACATGAAAATACGAGATGAGCTAAAAGGAAAAGGCAGTACATTGCAAACTTAGCCAAAATGATAGCAAGTGGACATGACTGAGAGAGTTTATCCAACCAAATCAGAATATGAGTAATCTTTAAAATCTCCTTATCAACAGTGCTAATCTACATTAGCATGATATCAGTGAATCTGCGATTGTCGCTCTACAACACTGCTGTTATTGCTGCTTCCCATTATTCTGCTTCCCAAAGGCATACGTGGTTCACACCAACAGTTTTGGCAGTTATTGTGGTCTCTTAGCAAAAAATAATTATACTTCAGGTTCATTTTATTTACTAAGTAAAGTTCAAGTATATTTTTTAAGTATACTTTATGTATTAAGTGTAGGACTTGTAAATGTACTGTTTTGAATTGGGACTAAATTGGCCCACTTTTTGTGTATAAAAAATATTCTATTAATGCTTTAAATTAAATGTAGCATTATAAACTTTGAGTACGCAACTAGTTTACATCTAAGTTTTTCGTTGTAAGTATAGCTAAGTTTACTAGTCAAATATGTAGCACATTTTTTAGTGTATATGAAAGCACACACTCTTAGAAGAAAAGGTTCTATATAGAACCTTAAAAGGTTCTATCAGCTCTACGTATTTGGAACCCCTAAAAGGTTCTATACACTCTTAAAAAAAGGGTTCCTCTGGGTTCTATATAGAACCCTGGGGTTCCATACTTGGCCAATAGAAACTTTTACCAAAAAAATGGTTCTATATGTTCATATGAGTTCCATATGAAGTGGGGGATGGAACCATTTCTGGTTCTAAATAGAACCATTTCTTCTAAAGGCGCTTTTCCACTGCATAGTACGGTACGGTTCGGTTCGGTACGGCTCACTTGTGGTGCTTTTCCACTGCATGGTACGGTACAGTACGGTTCGCTTCAGGACGCTTTAAATGGTACCTGGTCTGTTGAGGTTCCAAGCGTACCGTACCGGTACTAAAATGTGACGTGACACTGCAGATCACTGATTGGTCAGACAGAATCGTCACTACTAGCGTCACTACTAGCGTCATTGGATTTGCGACACGAGACACGAGACACTTTTCTAGCAGTATTTTTGTTTTGCTGCCATCAGCCTCATTTTAAACACATTTTTCCGTCTAGCAGTTAAAAACAACCACATACCGAGAATCAGGAACACCAACCCCTCGATAGTCTCCATTGTTCCTGTGTTGTGGGTTTGAAAATGTGGCGCTTTTAAGATGATGTCATGGCAGTAGAGGCGCGCGCAAATAACGATCAGTCCCACACACTTTGAAGGGGTACTACTGCGGTGGAAACGCAAAGCGAACCGAACTGTTCTGCTCCAAGTCGAAGCGTACTGCGCCGAACCGTACCGTACTATGCAGTGGAAAAGCGCCATAAGAGTGCACTTTCAGTAAACTAGTTAAGTAGTTTTATGAGGTATATGTGTACGTTTTCTTTAAAACATAAAACATTCAACTATAGGCCTACTTATAGTTTACTATTTATATATTATTTTTGCACTTTAAGTATACTACAATTTTCCTATTTTTATCAAGAATTTAATGTGTTCAAAAGTTTCATTTAAAAAGCTGGGAAAAACACATTTGTCAGACTTTCGTCCGGATGGGATGATCAAAATATATTCAGTCAATGGCGGGGAAATAGTGAAGTAGATATGAAGTAAATTCCTGCGTATGCTATCAGTGGACTACAGCCAATACAAAAATTCAGATACTCAGAATTAGGAACATCAATACATTTCAATATACAGAATTTATAAATCAATATTTTCCAAACATACAGTATACTGAAGTTTATAATGAGACTAATTGAAAAAACAATATTTAATAAGCAACTCAATTAAAAGTGTAAACAAAACTACAGGCCAAATATACTTGATTATACTTTTAAGTATATCTCAGTCAAAAGATTGAGTAGCCTAAAGTATTGGCCAAATTAGACCTTTCTGTCACTGTCAGTATAAATCAAGTAGGCTAATTCTTATTTTTTAGTCTAAAATAAGTATACTAAGAGCACACTTGAATAAACTTATTTTTCAGGGTTTAGATTCAGTGTTTCCTGATTATTTGGCATGAGGTGTAGGACATAGGCCCACAATGTTCTAATTTATCGTGAACGAACATTCACCGGCCACCAGATGGCGACAGCAGATCAACGCGTTCAGGTAAAGTAAAGATGTCATTGTTTGTCAGTCATTTTAATTTGGTTTGTTTTATATATGTTTTAATTGTAACTCTATAAATTCTGCCCACTCTAATGAGTTAATCTACAAAATGTATGTTAAATCCTTGCTTAGGCTTCCGTTATGTCGTATAACTATGTTGATGTGGGCCTGCTGGTGCTTATGGAGGCTTTGCTTTTACATTTTTTTTCTTTTACAATTAAACGTAATTGAAACAAATATTTGCTGGGAGCAATATGGCATAATGATGGCTTATGAAAGAGGTGAACACTCCCTCACACAAGTTTTTACCACTGTCAATCCAGCACAACTTCACCTGAGCATAAGTTTCAACTTTTAGGGTTCCTTGGCAAAATGCTAACATCCCATTTTATTTCTGCAATCCCAGTGAAAACTGAACAAAATACATTTAAGAAAGTACATGGAAACGACTTTTTGCTATTAATAGCCAAACATGTGAGATGGAAACCACAAATTTTGTGCATCCTCATGAAAACCGAATTCTCAGGCCGTTTTAAACAGTATGTCAAGTTTTTTAATGACACTTCTCTCTGACAGTTTATTTTCATTTCCAGTATATTTTCATTCCTCTTTCCCTTTCAGAGTGAAGTGGTTTCAGTTGCATAACCAGTCTCGTTAAAGACTCTGTAAATGAGTGATGAATCAGATGCAGTTTCCATTGATATTTATTCATTTAGAAGACACATTTATCCAAAGTGCCTTAAAAATTAGAATAAAACAAGCAGAAGTGATTAATCTAATCCAAGCACATCGGATCTAAGAGAGGTTTTGAACATATTCAGAAATGTTTTTCTTTTGGAGATGCTGTAAAATTGGCAGAAGTGATAGCTTCCGTGTTGGCTTTTCAGAATTTTTCCAATGTCTTATTTCCAGCGACCTCCGACCTTTCCTTTACCATGAACTTTTTTGCTGTGATAAAGAAATAGGTGGAACATCAGCACAATTAAGAGACAATTTCTACTATTATAGTGTTTTTCACAAAAGAAAAATGCTTAAGAAATAAGTAAAGCCTAATTTTTGCTTAAAAGGATAGTCCAAAAAAAAAGTGTCTTCATTTACTCATCTTTACTCACCTTTAAGTCTTTTTTCTTATGTGGAACATAAGTTACTTTGAAGAATGTTGGTAAACAAGGTAACCAAATATATATCTATATATCAATATATCTTCTTTAGTACAGTAGAAGAAAGAAATGCATACATGTTTGGAACAACATGAGAGTGAGTGAATGATGACCGCATTTTCATCTTTGAATGCACATTCCCTTTAAGGCAGGAATTAACTATATGACTTTTGTTCAGATTTTTTCCCAGATTTGCAGCCTGGACAAGTCGATGCTAGTTGCCAAAAGTCAAAGTCAGATCACAGAAAATTGCATTGTGATGGGCAAAGATATGTTTAGCTTCAAACAAAGAATCCACTGAGGTGGATATCAAACATGTTTGATATTTTGAGCTGATTTTAGTACATATTTTTTTTTTTTTTTCATTTGTTGTCAAGATGCGGTGGGAGCACTATACCCACAACACCATATTAACAAGTGTCTCTTAGAAAAGCCACTCATGTTTCTGTATGAATTTATAATGTTTAAAATGACTTGAAACAATAAACTTATTAACTTAATGTGACTTACAACTTCTGAGCGTGAGAAATCCTGTTCAGTAGAACAACAATCTGTTGAGAAGGAAGCAAATTTCAGATAAGTACAAATAAATGCTTTCTTTGCGCTTTCACTTTCTACACCCTCTATCTATCTCTCTATCTGACTTTCTCCAGCTGAACGAAGCACATTAGTATTTGCACTACAAACACAGTCAGGTTTCATACATTGAAATCTTTCACCAGTTTCTCAAACCTCAGTTCAGGAAACAAAGTCACCACACCTCATACTTCTGTCTCTTCATTTGATCCAATAGGTCAAACTTTTCTGACTCCAGCTGTTGAATCCAGTTCCACATCTCCTGAGCTCGCTTCCTGTTTTTTGGGAGTAAGGAACAGGTGATGATGCAAACAACTATTCATGAAGCGTGGACAAAAATGGACTGTCTGTGTGAAATCTCTGCGCACACAAATGGGTGGGTGGGTGTTCTAATAAATTCCCGTGTTTCTGTTCTTAGTTATCTGGTCTTTAAGGGTTGTTGCTTTGCATGCCCTAATTTTTGTTTCTCTATGTGGATAATTAATTACAGACCTTTGACTTTCATCATCTTCATCGTGTATGCTATACAACCAGTCCACATTTAATGTTTAGACGACACATTTAATGTTTCTTAATGATTTATTAACAAAAGTTTAAATTATATCATATTATATTATATATAACATGGATGTGTATGTGTGTGGTCACCTCAAGCC